AACAGGTTTTCTTGTCAATCGGTGAAATCTCATAACCGGAAACGATCAGCTGTGATCACACTCACCAATATAATCCTTTATTGAATATGTTATTTTCATAAATTGTATCCAATACACGATTCGCACCACACATACACGCACGTAAAATCAATTCACTTGCAAATATTTAAAGACAGCGTGAAATATGTTGCGACAAAATTGTAGGTTAATATCGATCGATTTAATAATTGTTATCGATCGATTGTCAAACTAACATCTTTTAAACATGAAAAATTAAGAGAATTGTTACGGGACTAACAAATTCCGTTGTTCTGCTCCGTTTCCTCGTTACACGCAAACATAAAGACAGCAACGATTCCTTCTTCTCCGATAGAAAGTCAACAATGTAACCATGCTTCAAAATTACCAACCATGGATATAATGTCCAGATCTAGCCCCTCTACTATTTTGTTTACGATTGTTTCCAAGTATAACAAACATACAGAAATTATCGCTATTCACACTATTCATTACAAACACGTAAATAAGTGATCGCTATCGATGCACGAATCGCACTTGACTGCTAGTAAAATTTCCGATTTAACTTGCATTATGGAATCCAATGTTACACTGACATGTCAAAGTCAATAGTGGCGTGTGTTGATTGTACATATATATATGGATATCCATGTAATTTTCACAGCATAACAAATGCTGATACTTGTTTTGAGTCGTCCTTATATAAATATGACGTCAATGATTACGAATATTGTGTTCGAAACTCGAGATACACCGAATTTGATGAAATTCTCTTTTATTCCATGCCAGAATGTAAATCGATCGAACGAAAATGATTTTCTTTACAGCAGTAATTGCTTTTATTCTTGAATTTCCTTTCTGTTCGGTAATCTTGACCGGTTCAAAGCGTCACTGTAAACTCACTGTTTGCAAGAAACACATGTAAAAGGACACAGACACGCGAGGCGACCAGCTCGCCGCACCGTGGTCGGCCAGGTAGTGACTCACTAGCCGCCAGTAGAAAATAAATATTACGGAATCGTGCGCCGTGCTTCTCAGCCAGGTAGATTCTCCCACCTCCGAGGCTTCGGTTGAAAGTTCTACTGATCAGACTCGTTCCGCTATGAAAACGTTCGCTCACATTGTTAAATTCGATCCACGATGCAATTATCTCAATTTTGGTCGTTCATATTGCCATCGATGCAGTTTAGTTATCGTGTTTGATTTATCGTTTGATTAATTTATGTACATCTCGCATTACATACACACGATATTCACTTTTTTGAAAAGTAATAAGTACATAAGCAAAATAAAACGCGGGAAAATAAAAAAAAAGTACAACGATTTACGAACACGAAACAATCAACCTATCGACCTTTCCTTCTGAAGGCATACTAACCTCTCCTTTGACTGTACCCACCACCAACGTTATCCCCACTACTTGACCCACCTGGTCGAACCGCCACCTGACTCGATCTCATGAAATCTATGGATCTTGTTTAACATATGATCCTCCTACGTTTTCTACTGTTATCGATGTATTATGTTAAAATATATATTTTTTAAGATTCTTTTAAATTTTATCCACGTATTATTTATATAATAAAATATCATATAGCAAGAATATATCAAATTGTATCATACACAATTTTAATATCACAATATAAAAATTGTCTATATCTTTTCGAGAGTTAGAAAATGTTCATTTCGTGCAAAATCATTCAAGTTTCACTATAATTCTCTCATATAAAAAAAAAGGCATTTTTACGAAAGAAAGAAGACAATATTATTATAAAGCATTTTACAAACTGCATAGTAATCAAACGATTAAAGAAGAAGGGTACATATAATAAAATATAATATTTTTCAAAGAGATCAGTGATCGTGACATACCATTCGTTAATGATTAAAATGAGTAATATTAGAAGATGTGCGATATTGAATATTCTAAATAAATATTTATCAATTTAAATATATATATATATATATACAATATAATAAAATACATATAATAAAATCATCAAACGATGTATACAATGATTTTCCAAATAATTGATTTTATAAGGTAAAATAGATAATTACGTTAACATTAAGTCAATATTAATTTTTCCATAAATTATATTTTTCTTTTTTAGACAATTATTTGCAATTATTTTTATACAAGCTATATTATATAACAAAATCATATAAAACATTTCATTAAACGTGTAAAAAACCAAAATCCCTGTTATTATACATTGAGAGAGTGCTTGGCAACCGAAAGAATCAACAAGAAGGTACGTACAGATGGTTGAGCTATACAGGGTGGCAGATGTCTTTCTCAAATGTGCTCGTTGAACGTCATCAACAGTTACATTGGGAAAGTGTTTTCCTCTCCTCCATCGATCCTCAAGATCATTTACGTGAACGGTGAGGAAGATATGAACGAGGACGTTGGCATCTTCCGGAAAAATCTTTAATCCATTGATCGTAACTTTTCATAAATGTTTAACAAATAGTGAGTCATATTAACCTTTACACTTAGACCTCAATCGATAAAAACAATCTTATACAACAAGTAGTGTATATATATCTAGTTTGTAAGAATTTATAAACTAATTGTTCAATAAATAAAAATTGAAAACATAGAGGATTAAATGTAACATGTCTTTATTGTATTTTGAAAAAAAAAATAAAGTTTAAAATTTAAATAAGAATAATGCTTGAACAAAATTATAATTTATAATTTATAAATTATTTATAAATTGTAACAAAATTATATTTATATATTTTAAAAGGTTATAATTTAAAAAAGCTTAAAAATGGCTCGTAAAACTATGCAACACATGCTAGACGAGACTGAGCTTGAGACAATAGCTCAAAAAGAACTTTCAAGATTAAGAAGACAATTTAGAATAATGGAAAATGATCGAAGTATTTGTGCAGAAGATGCAAAATTACAACTTCGCAAACAAATAAATATGATTAATCGTTTGGAATACGAAAAGGCAGAACTTGTTCTTCGTATTAAAACTGCCAGTGCAAAAACGTTTACTGATAAAGAAGAAAAAATGGAAAAAAAGCTAAAGTGTGTTTTAATGGCGCAAACAAAATATGATGAAATGATAAAGAATGAAAAGCAGGAAATAGCAGAAGTCGATATTGAAATTCGCAAGGTTTATTAATTTATATTAATTTCAAACGTTAATATTTCAAGATAAAAATATTATTATTGTTATATTATTGTTTTATTATAATTGTATTAATATTAATGTTGTTTTAATTATTATAATATTATTAAATTATAATATTAAATGTTAATTATTATAATATTAATGTTGTTTTCAGTTATCAAAAGAAATAGAATCCATAAGAAGAAAAATTAAAACAGACGTTCAATTAAAAGAAATGTACATACGAGATGAAAATATAGTTTATATGTTGGAAAATCGGCTTGAAGTAGCAACAAAAAGATTTAACATTGCTGTTGCTATTAATACAAAACTTCGAGATGAAATTGAAGATAGACTCAAGGAAAGATCGCAGTTTACAACACTTTGGAATAAATTAATTAACCAATTAAATACTGGAAAGCAAATTATAAATGATTTAATAGAACAAGCTACTATCGCATTCAATCAAAGGGATGAAGAATTAAATAAGATTCAAGCTCTTCGTGAAAGGTAAATTTGAAATTTTTAAATAATTTAAATAATAAATTTATATTTCCAATTATTATAAAATAAATTTTGAAAGTAATATTATTGTCAGAAGTTTTGTGATATTTTTGTGGCAATCAAAAAATAGTTGAAAAAATTAAAAAGATTGAACCATTATCACTATAATTCTGAGAATTACATTAATAATGTGAAAATTAATCATATTTTATACAAAATAAGACGTTACATTAAAAACTCGAAATCAAGAATAAAAATTAGAAATCAATAGTATATTCAACATCTTGCTTTCAATGATTATTCAATATTTTATTTGTTAATTAATCGATTAATCATTAGATCATTAATCGATTTACATTTTTGTTACTGATAACAATATGTAATTTTGTGAATACAAATAAATGTTTATTTTTTTTTAAGGGGATTAAGAGACTTAAGGAATCATATCTCAGAAATGTGTGAATTACAAAGAACAATGGATAATGAAATGAAATTACAAGAATTTCTTGGTATAAAAGGACAACATCGTGAAATGAGCGATTTAAATGAAAAACGTGCAGCTGAAAGAAAAGCCACAATGGAATTTAAACAATCCAAGATTGAGACTTATAAGAATATTTTACATACGATTAAAGAATTTATTGGTACTTATAGTTTTTTTTACCTTATGTACATACCATATATACTGATACATTTCTCACTTATATAAGATAATTAATATTATAATTATTACGTTTACTTTTATTTTAATCTTATGATTCGTTTCTTTGTATTTTTTTATTCGATCCTTTAAATCTTTTTAAGATATATAAAGGTATGAATAATTTAATCTAAAACTTTGTAATAAATTATAGGTGAACAGAATAATGATAAACTTATAGCAAAATTTATCAAGCAAGAAGAAGAAAACTTTGCCTTGTTCAGTTACGTAAATGAATTAAACGATGAATTGGAGAGTCTTAACATGAGAATTGATCAATTAACATTAACTATACAAGAGGCACAAACTTTAAATGAACGTATTAGTTACGAACAAACTCAGACATTAGAGCAACTTAAAACAGAACTTGAAGAACAAACCGCGCTTGCTGATGCGGCTGAAGAAAATCTGGCACAGGTTATATTTTATTTATAATTTTTGAATATTTAAAATCTAGTATCAAATTCTGTAATGAATTGTGAATGAGTTATTTTTATTTAAATAACTAACTTTTTTGTTTTTTTATATTTCAGTGTGATGATGTACTAGAAAAATTATTAAAAGGAATAGATTCTCTGTTTAAAGCAATTCGTTGTGATAATTCTCCAATTTTACGATTATTGGGCGATAATGAACAAATAACAATGAGTAATGTAATGCTGTATTTAGGAATTATTGAAAAACAAATTACACAAATGTTCCACAAAGTATATTGGCTGGATAGAGCTACAAAATCGCAACAGTTGCGAATTGACGAAGAAAGAAGACCTAGATTGAAAGTGCCTCCTATTGAATATATTGTTCCCACTCAACCTTGTGCCTTGTAAGTCCTTTGATTCCATCTATTTTTCTCTACTTCCTTTTCTTATCCTTCCTTTTCCTAAAAATATTTTATAAGTTATATTTTTTTTTTTCAATACGATTCGTTTATATTGAATACTTGTTAAAAAAAAAATCATCAAATCGTACAGATGCGTCGAAAAAGAAAAATTACAAGTCGTATCCGAAGGTTTGGAACACCCATTGACGCGCGAAGCAGCTACTAAAAAGTTAAAGCAAAGACTCGATGAAGATTACTCAGAACTTTTGCATAATATATCTGGTTGTCATTTACCGGCAGCTAGAAAAATCATACAAAAACGATATCAATAAAATAGTAACACAGAGTCTGTAATATACAATCATTAATATTTACGAACTACATACAAGATAATCGGCTGAATCCTCAACATAGCCATGCAACTCGTAAAACTGGTAAAAATACTAATAAGTAATATGATATTTCAGTATATTTTATTCTTTAGAATATTATTTACATAGTTGAACAAATAATTTCAAATAAACAGTGTGTTTCTTATTTTATTACACGTTTTTTTGCAATTTTCATGATCGATTTTAATTCAATAATTGTTCGCTTAATTTGATCTAATTGTTGCTCGATATCATCTTTGCTCACAACCATGGGAATATCCTTTCTCTTGCAGATCTGTTGATATAGATTCCAGCAACATGTTTTCACTTGCGTATGCTCCAAAGTTTTTTCCATCGCAGTTACTTTTATTTCAGATACGATTGACTCCCATTTACGAGCTTGTACTTCTGCCTTATCGCGTCTTGCTTGTAATTGTGCTAACATATTATTCAATCCTAGAATTTCTTGTGTTTTTGATTCTGTCATATGATGCTGTAAAAAAAAAGATATTCGTTTTTTTCTTTGTATTATTATAAGTGGAAGATTAATAAATTATATATATATTATATATATTATATATATATATAATATTATATATATAATATATTATACATTATATATATATTAAAAGAATACCATTTCTGTTCCTCTTTCTTCCAATAAATGAAGATTCTTATCTTGATGTTCGGTTAAAACTGATCGTGCTTCTATTAATGTTTCGTATCGATTAAAAATATCAGCAATTGATTGAAATTCTCCTGTTTCGGCAATAACTCTGTCTAAATAATGTGAATACTTTTGATATTCTTGTACATGTTTCTTCATTCTGTCTCGAACATCATACATGTGTTTTAAATTTTCATTTATCTGTTTTATCTGAAAAATATGTTTTCTGATAAATAAATAGAATTATATTTATACTATTATATAAATAATAATTTTTTATCAAGTTTTTATGATATATTACTTCTTCCTGTCTAATCGTTTGACGTTCACGTTCTTCTTTAACTTTAATATCAGCACGATCACGTTTCTCTTGATTTTCCTTCACGAACCTATTGAATTTTATAAATGATTCCCGGAGGATCAATTCCTGACGTCTCATCTGCTCCCATTGCTCGTCCATAAACTTTCGTTTTTTTTGTTGTTCCAACCATTTCGCATGTAATCTAGCTTCGGTTTTTTCTAATTCACAACGCGCTCTTACTACTTCGAATGCTGGGTAAACTCTTGGCTTATCCCATTCAGGATATTTTCTAATACATAAAACACACAATTCACATATCTTTGGAGATGTTAGCTTTTTTTTTTTTTAAATTATATAAAATAAAATCGTAAAAGAAAAATACTTTGACAACCTTTTTCATAGAATTTTACATCAGTTTCCTAATTGTTATCGAACTGAAAATAAAAGAATACACAGAATATTGTAATATATCAAAAATCAATTATATGAAATAGCTCTTTCGTTACTTAATATCACGGTCTTCTTGCTTCGATAAGAAATATTCCTTAACAGCTTCTTGCGGATCTGTTGCAATAACAGCACGTCGAACAAAATCTTTTATTTCTTCTTGTATGGTAGTCATTTTGATTCTTCAAAATGGATTTTAATAAAAATAAGTATTTTAATATTCAATGAATTTTTAATCTTTAAAAAGACGAAACAATAATAGATGCATGTATAATGCATTGATCAAACAATTTGAAATACAAGTTTGTCTCTTTAATATAAAAAATCCCTAGATTGTTATAATATATATTTTAATTTAATATTCGAATTTCAATCACATAATAAATTTAATGATAGGATATATATAATTAGAAAAATTATATTTAAAATTAATTAACCGTATTTTATTTATTTTACATTTTTACAAGGAGCCAATAACAGTAATATAAAAAATTACTATATATTATAGAGAAAGTAGAAGATTAATATTTTTTCCGATATTCATCTAATAATTTGTAAATTTTACGAATGTACTTCTTGTCCCAAAAGAGAAAGTTGTTTAAGTAATTGTTTCGCATTTATAAATGTTGTTGAACCATATGTGATTCGTTTATTAACTCCAGTTCCACTTTTCTGTTTTACATAGTCCACTAAATTTTGATATTCTATGTAATTTCCACCACCAACAATAAAAACAATTACATCTTGGAATGTTGGCCTGTTCTTTGGCATTTGTTCTGTATGTTTTAATTGTTTTGGATCTAAATAACAATAATCATCTGTTTGAGATGATTGCTTTGATTCCATTAATTCATCGACTATTTTTGTAACTGGTAAATTATGTTTTTTGACAACTAAATTTTTTACTCCTTCCATTACAAAAGATGATCCTTGATTCATTAGTTTTGAAAACATGCTAACTGTTTTTGTTCCACCACCTTCATAGTTGTTCTGAATTTCTGCTATTCTAGTATAACTTCTTAATCTTTTTATGTATATCAATGGATTTAAATCACATCCAGCAGTAGATAATGCTGACTCAAGTTTACTATAATCATTATCTGACATATTTGTACAAATATAATATATAATAGCAAGACGTAATTTATCCTCTGGAGTACCACAATCTGGATCACTTATTGTTTCTATTACACTCCTATCTAATGTTTGCTTGCTCATTATCTTTTCTTCTAATTCAAAAAATGTGTCAAGTCTTCTGGATTTTATAAAATTTAAAATACCTGTTGCAATTGATGTATGCATATCTATCAATCGTTTCATCTCTAATAATTGTGGTAAATTGTTAACAGCATTTGTTAAGCGTGCTGTATTATTAGAAACCATAGATAATGCTACTTCACTATCATTATCAATACCCATAGATGATTTGAGTTTTTTAACATCATCTTCAAAAGTACGATACTGTTCTAATTCTTCTTGAATAGCTTCAGCTACTCTAGGAAATGGACTACCTTTATGTTGACACCAAAATCTATCTTTATTATCTAATTCATATGCTCTAGTCTTTGATCTTGTTCCTCCTGCAGGAGATCTTCCTACATTTTCTTCAACAACAAGTCTGTTTAATGCCATTTCTAACACATCATGTGCTAATGCTTGATAAGTCCAAGTATGATGCAATGGTGTGGCCATATCTATGTTACGATCCAATATAATTAAAAGTGGTCTTTGAAAACTATAATGACCAGTTGTTTCACTTTCAAATAAATTATTTCTTGTATCCCAAACATTTTCTCTTAATTTTTTATCAATCATTTTAGCAACCATTTCTGCAGCATTTCCTCTTGGACATCTTATAACTGGAACTGTACCCAAAGTAACAAATACAGAAAAAAGACAATCAACTATAATTTCCATTACTGATTCCATTTCAGTATCTTTTACTTCACCCCGATTAATTGCATGATATGATATAACATCACTATTCTGATGTCTAAGAATAAATAGATCATCTTCTAATGATATAAAATTTAAATATTGATCAAATACTTTATGAATATTTGACACAACACCTCCAAGTAATGCTGCAGCTGCTAAATCTTCCATTTTTTGCCTAGTTATTGGTGATATAAAGTTTAAATGATAAATATCATATAATCCATTTTGTAAATCTTGACCAATTCTAACAAGATTTTCATCTGTTGGTGCACAAAAATAAATAGCTGGTACCTCAGGAATAGGATCTCTATCAGAATGTAATTGCATATGAAGTGTAATACCAAGTTCTCTGAGTTCTTTTACAGATATTAATGGTGAAATAATATCTTGTCCAAGTCTATCATAAATTAATACTTTCCACACTGGTATTGCTTCTTCCAATTTTTGTTCTGATTGATTTAAATTTAACATCAACTTTAAAGCATTTATTTGCCTATCACGAAGACTCGTCATGGTTAACTTGATTGTTGAAATCCTTACTTTTTAAAACTTTCCTCACTTTAATAAATATTTAAAATTTCATAAATATAAGAAAAAATTTTGTAAACAATAATGATTAATATTTTGAGGCTACATAAGAAAATAAAAGATTTAAAATACTATGTTATATATAAATATGTCAACATTCGATATTTAATTCTAAATTGTCAAAAAATACCTATACACTATATGGTACTACTAGGACTTATAATATAGGACACATCAATAATTCTCTGAAATGACGCAAAATCTCTAGATAATAACTTGTTAATAACTTTCCTAACATATATTTAAAAATTATAAAGTTATAATAATTTGATTATAAACTTACAATATATATCAATTCATAATATATCATAGAAAAATTATAATTATAAATTTTTTTAATTTATATATAACATGTTATTATATAAAATAATTTTAAGTTTCTTATAGCCTTTTATTGGTAGCATTGGCCGGCAACAAAATGGCGACCTCATTTTACTGGGAAAGTAAAATCAGAGAAAAGTTCGATGTTAATATCAGGCTATTGTGAGTGACATGTAAATAATAAACGAGATTTTGTTTATATAATACTGAAAAAACTAATTTAACCTTTAAAAGACAATATACATTGAATATTCGATGAGTTTTCGGTGATACGTTTCTGACAGCATGTCGACAATGGCCGATGACTCTACTTCTCTGCCAAAAAGGCGTCAATTGGTAAACAAACCAAACATAACTTTTTAATTTAAGATTAAATTCAGTAGTTTAATATGAAATTTTTATATAATTTTGCCAAAAATTTCATATTTATCATAAATTTTATTGTAGCGGGAGAGAACTCGAAAATTATATACAGATGATTGGACTATAGGCGATGAAGAAATCGAGGGTCGTAGGACTTTTCAACTTGATGAAAAAATCGAGTGTGATAGGTATAATCTTAGCAATTTCAGTGGATTATTTCGTGAAATGGCTGGTTCTGAACTAAATTTAGCATACTTGCAAAAACATGGTCTTAGCATACCATTACTCTTCAGAGATAAATCTGGATTGGGATTACGAGTTCCCAGTTCAAATTTTTCTGTCAATGATGTCAGGACTTGTGTTGGTATGTTGCTTTTGTAATTGTGCATTGAAATTATTATAACATGTTTTCCTGCAATATATGGAAAATTGAAAAATATTGATTATCCATAATTTATTAGGTTCAAAAAGAATATTGGATGTAATGGATGTCAATACACAGAAAAATGAAGATATGACAATGAAAGAATGGCAAAAATATTATGAAGATGCTAATAAAGAACGATTGTTAAATGTAATTTCATTAGAATTTAGCCATACCAAATTAGAAAATTATGTACAATCACCTGAATTAGTACGACAAGTTGATTGGGTAGATGTTGTATGGCCAAGACATTTGAAAGAAGCACAAGTGGAATCTACAAATCTATTGGAAGATATGATGTATCCAAAAGTGCAAAAATATTGTCTCATGTCTGTAAAAGGTTGTTATACAGACTTTCATGTTGATTTTGGTGGAACTAGTGTTTGGTATCATATTTTAAGAGGTGGCAAGATATTTTGGCTTATCCCTCCTACTGAAAAGAATTTAAGCCTCTATCAAGAATGGGTATTGAGTGGTAAACAATCTGATGTATTCTTTGGAGATATGGTAGACAGATGTGGTAGAATAAGTTTAACAGCTGGCATGACTTTATTTATCCCAACTGGCTGGATTCACGCTGTGTACACTCCTCAAGATTCTTTAGTATTTGGTGGAAATTTTTTACACAGTTTTGGTATTGAAAAACAATTGAAAGTTGCACAAGTAGAAGAACATACAAAAGTTCCACAAAAATTCAGATATCCATTTTTCACAGAAATGCTATGGTATGATAAACTTTTTAATAATTCTAAAGAAATCTTTTTATATCATATATATATGTAGAGATTTCTTTACTTATTACAGGTATGTTTTGGAGAGGTATGTTCATGTTCTTCTAGATAGAAGTCACTTGGATATTTCTGAATCACAACGTCAACATTCAGTGCCACAGCATCATCAACATATACATTTGACACCATTTGAGTTGCATGGTTTAAAAGCAATAGTTATGTATTTACATTCATTACCTTCTACTAAGAAGAACGTGCCTGAGCTAATTCGTGATCCTGTTGCCTTAATTCATGATGTTCGATGTCTAGTAGAACAACATAGACATGATAATCCAGAAGCAGCTGTGACTGGGAATCCTGTTTTACCTCCTCCACCTGCTTTAACAATTGCTGAAAGGGTATATAAAATATTAAATTTTATCATACTAATTACTTATTTCTGTTTAATATTTACACGTATTTTATTTTATTGCTATATAACAGGAACGAATGAGGATAACTAAGAAGAGTTTTACAAAAATACAAAGACATCACTCCCAAGAAAAGTCTGAAAGAGCTTTTCCGCGACGAAGGCGTACTAGGTGTAAGAAATGTGAAGCATGTACAAGAACTGATTGTGGAGAATGCATATATTGTCAAGATATGGTAAAATTTGGTGGAAGTGGTCGTGCCAAACAAACATGTTTAATGAGACAGTGCTTGAGGCCTATGCTTCCAGTTACTGCAGCTTGTAAAGTCTGTCGATTAGATGGCTGGGGCCAACCACCTGCACCGTTAATGGGTATTAGTTTATTTCAATGGATTATTTATTCACTATTAATGAGTAAGAAATATGTCATTTTTCTATTTCTGATATAGGAAAACCAACACCTACAGCTCCATCGAGTTTAGTCGAGTGCTCAATTTGTTTCGACATTGTACATCCTGAATGTATAGGATTGGACCCCCAAACTATAACCGTTAGCGATGATTTACCGAATAGTTGGGAATGTCCCCAGTGTTGTGAAAGCGGTCGGAATCTAGATTGTAGGCCACGTCAACCTAAGGCTCGTGCTCGAAAACTTTCAGTATCTAGTGCAGCTTCGTCAGCACCTACAACAGATTCTGAAAGGGCAACTACACCAAGTAAACGTTCAAGACCCGATCCCAGCGATGTAAGTCCCCAAATGGAATCTGAAACGGTCTAAGAATACGAATCATTCATGGTTTATATACAAAAAATTCCAGGCATGGAATGACAGAGAACCGGCTGAGGGTGAACAGCGAACAGCTTTGCGTACACAATTAGCTGTACAATTAACTGGTTCAAGTAGTAAGTCATTGAAGAGGCCCCACGTGGTCGTTAGGCCTGTTTCACTTCCGCCTGTTCAAAGACCAGGGCCCGATTTTAATGGACAATCTTTAGCATATGACAAGACAGCATTACTTGCTATTTTTAGATTTTTAAATGCAAAGGACCTGGCGAATTGTGCCTTGGTTTGCCGTACATGGGCCAGATATAGTATAGATCCTAGTTTGTGGAGAAAATTGGATATGTCTCATTCTCATCTAACAGCTTTACATTTAACTGGTATAATACGCCGCCAACCGGAAAATCTGTCTCTTGACTGGACAAATGTTACTAAAAGACAATTAGCTTGGCTATTAAGTAGATTACCACAGCTCAGAACATTATCTCTACAAGGTTGTACGTGGACTGGAGTCTGTGCTTTAAGAACTTGCACTTGTCCACCACTTGTTACCTTAGATTTAAGTCATGTATCTGGACTAAATGATTCAAGTTTAAGAGAAGTTCTCAGTCCACCTACAGATTCGAGGCCTGGTCTAATCGATAAAACTTCAAGACTAAAACATCTTAAAAATTTGTCTTTGGCTGGATGTGATATAACTGATATAGCTTTGAGATATATAGTTCAACACTTACCTTATCTTGAGACATTAGATCTTTCTTCTTGCGGTAGAGTTACTGATGCTGGTGTAGCTCAATTAGCAACTCCACCAGCACAAGCAGTAACAAACTTGGCATCACTGAATTTGGCAAACTGTAGATTACTTACAGAAACAACATTAGATCATTTGGCAAGATGTAAAGTGCTTAAACGTTTAGATCTCAGACATACAACTCAAGTTTCAACTCAATCTGTAATTAAGTTTGCTGCAAAAAGTATCCATAATTTGCATGTAACTGATGTTAAGTTAGTAGAAGAAAAAAAGTTTAAAGTAGAAGTTAAAGTTACGTGAAAAAATGTTTTTTTTGTTTCGTTTTGTTTTTGTATTTGTTACGAAGATTTTCGGCAAGTGCAATTCGGTTACCATATAAAGATAGACAATGCATATAATATCGGATTTCAATTAATAATTATATTATCATAAAGATCCATTAGCACTGTATCGCTTCTTCATAATATAAGAAAATGGACCTGACTAGTATAGGATTTCTATTTGATAACATTCAGTTTTACCAATGTCATTGTGCGATCTGGGCAGAAAAAAACACTGCTTGTATATGATTTGAAATGACCAAGAAATGTTTTACTTTTTGCTTTTTGTTATGGTAGATGCTGTCTTCCTTTATGCCTGGATAGCTCTGTGCATATTTCAGAAATATTTTAACGAATACAGGATATTAAATAAGTAATGCAGATTCTAAAATAAGAATGTCTAAAACAAAGCTGCACTAGATGAATCTAAGATATATCGAAATATAGCAATGGTTAGCATCCCTAATATTAAAATTGTATAAAAACGAAATGTTAGGTTTCACTAACCTTGCAACCAAAAAAATCATTACTCGCTTAATATTCAGTATTCCATTAATTTGAAATGTAATACTTACATCGATATGGAAATTTTTACTGTTGCATTGCTAAAAAAAGCAAACGTACAGTATTTATTTTGTAATTCTATATGGATGTAAAAATATAAATGCGGGTAAAAGAAATAAGTATTGACATGTTTCGCAAAAGTTTCAGCAGATTATTATATCGACGATATTATTTGCCGATATACCAATACAAAAAAGAGTATATTTATTTGTATGTGTGTTTGGATAAATTTCCAACATAAAGATTATTAATTGACTTGAAAGTCGCAAAACTAAAACAGCCTATTGACCTTGTAAACTCATACCCTAATTATAAAATCAGAAACGCGCAATGAAATATATTCGATTATACTATTTCATAATATTAGATAGATAATTAACATTATGCTGAAAACATGTATATCATACAAATGTTTTAATTTTCGACCTAAACTATGTTAAACGTAATGTCGAATGTTTTTATGTAAACGAATGTACATATGACTTTTTTTTTTATACAATTACTTTTCAGTTTTATTTTGTTATTGTACGTAATTTGATAATAATACCAAGCAATAAGAATTTATTATCTGCACCTTGAAACTAACGTTAGCTGTATAATTCAAATATCTCACATTATTTGTATTATCTCTGTGAAAATGTATCTTAGAGAACATGATCTGCTCGTATTAAAAATCAGCATATTTTTCCAACTGTCAGTGTAATCAGTTTCGTTACACTCGCTATTAAATTGTTTATGGCGAAAACATTTTTATAATTAATACAAGGTATTAAAAACACTTAAGATACGATTAATGTTCAAAAACTATGACGCCACTGTATAGAATATGTAATTCACAGGAAATGATAGTGATATTCTGATTTTCAAATATAATTTTAATTTTAAAAATACCGCTATTATATTCGCTCATTTATTTTCGAAATATTTTCGAAATATTTCGGTTCCTTTTTTCATTGTATTATCAATAATATCGATACAGCAAAAAAGAAAATTATTCAATAAACATGTAATTACAAAACAAAGATTTTATTATTTGTTAACAACGATAAAAATATACTCATAATATAATATACTATATGCAAATAAAATGTTTGCGACGCCAATGTAAGAAGCATTACTAGGGACTTTATGATACGTATGTATCATATGTGCGTTTCTTTTCAAACTACTTTAACGGGTAGTTGTAGTATTTTTAAAAACGTAATAAACATAGTTACTTATGTTATTGTGTATTCTAAATAAGATATCGTCGTTGAAAAATAAAGCTTGTACATTCTGGAAAAATTTGTTCGTCGATTAATTTCAATTGCAAGCATGTGAGTGTTATGTTGATAATTTTAGTTTATATAATAACCTATTAGAAATTTTATCATTAAGTAATAATTGTCTTTATTAAAAAATATTTAACAACATGATAGCAAAAAAGCAATATTGATAATCTTATACAAACATTTCTCACTTTTGCAAAAAATATTAGATAAATATGTGAAGCTTGTGTAGAAAATTTATATGTTCTGTCTTTTGTTTTAATCGATAAATATGTTTTGATGTTCCGTTTTAATTCGTTACGCATGTAAAATATTTACCATAGATACTAAAAGAAACAAATTAGCGTGTTTACTAGTCGATACTATAAAACAATAACTATATATCCTGCAGTTGATTGAATAAAAATTCTGTTTAAGTGTAAGATTTTCTACAAAAAGCATTTAGGTGAGTGTGCATGTATTATAGTTTACGTCTGGTTTTTCAGACATAAAATTTTCTATATTTCCATATGTAATACTTATATGTGTATGTATACAATTATTCATAATAATTCTTAGATCTCTTTACATGAACTTAACCTAATTCTGCTAACACAGAGTCAAGATCTTCTTGAAGAGTAAGACTTTCTTCTCGTTGTTTTGCTAAATCATCTTTTAATCTATCAACTTGAGCTTTAAGTAGATAGTTACCCTTCCTTAATGCTGCTAAACGTCCTTCATGCCTTTTAGATTGTTTCTGTCAAAATATATAAAATAAGGACAACTTCATTTATCTAATTTTTTATATGTGATATACGGATATTTACCTGTAAAATATTTCTTTGACCTTCTAAAGATTGATCTTCATCTTCTGTTTCAGTTTCTTCATCTTCAGATTCTTCAGACTCTGATTCTTCAGATTCTGTTTCTTCTTCTTCTTCTTCTTCTTCATCTTTTTCATCATCTTCGCTTTCTGACATTAACTTTGCCATTTTGTCCACTTCTTTTTGAAGCTGTTTAAACTTCTTTTTTTCTTCTTTTAGTAACTTTTGTTGCTGCTTAATTTGATCTTTTAATGCATGTCTTTCCTTTCTGGCATTAATTGCTTTATCTCTATTAATCAAAATATTATTAATTTTCATTATATATCATATTATATTTTATAAATTATTACTTACTTGAAATTTCTTATCTTTGTTGTCAAAAGTTTAATTTCTCTTTGTAACCGTTTCTCTGATGCTTTTGGATCTTTATCATCTTCTTCTGAGCTTTTTTCTTCTTCTTCTTCTTCTTCTTCTTCTTCTTCTACTTCTTCTTCATCACTTTCACTTGGCTCCTTTTTATCTACACTTTTTTGAGAAGCAATTTTTGCTACATCTTTTGCACTTGGACATCCAGCCAGTGCCATTCCTGAAACATTGTACCAAGCTGCTTCGTCGCCATCATCTGCTAGTTCAATTATTGGCTCAGGCTCAAGCTCTTGCTCTAATTCGCAAAGCATTTAATAAAGAAGCAAAATTAGTATAAGCATAAGCAATTCAATACCATTAATGAAGGACTAAAAACACATTAAATCAGAAATCCTTCATTAAAGTTTTTGTTATTTGCATTGTTAGATTATTGATTAAAATTTTTCATATTTTTGCATATATGACATATGCAAATAATTGTTGAATAGCTGCATATTTTAATCTGTTCATACCAGCTTTCATTCGTTTTTCTAAAGCAGCATACATCCTTTTCATTTCTTCCAATTCATTTTTGAGTTTATCTCTTTCTTCTGACACATTGATATATTCTCTCTCGAATTTCTCGGCATCCTTTCTAGCTTGTTGAGTTTCTTTTTTTAATGATTCTGTAATTTTCTCGTCATACTTCCTTTGTTCTTGCACACTTTTCTGGGATTTTTCATGTTCGAATTCAGCTTCGAGATTCAAAATTCTTGCCTGCAAAAAGTATTTGAGAAAATCAATAATAATTTTTATTTTTATTAATCTTAACAATCTTAACAATTTCGAGCAACATACTTGTAATCGTTTGTTTTCTCTTTCCAAAGCTTCTTTATTTCTAAGTTCAATAGCAAGCATTTGTTTAGTACTTTGTAAATCGTCTCTTACTGCATCAATATCGTCCATGTCATCAGAAATAGAGTCATCCGTGGGTTCTTCAGCCTTTTGCATTTGTTCCTCTATTGTCAATTGTCTTCGGAATTTTCTCAGACCTTCTAGTATCGGTTTCGATCGGTCATTAGTTTGCACTCTTTTTAATTTTACACCTTCCTGAATTTGTTTCAGCAATTGGTTATGCATGTTCGATTTTTCAGATTCGAACACAAAGTGTGCCTTCCCTAGTTAGAAATATTCAATCAATATAACATATTATTATACATAAATCATTTACAATATAATACAACTCGGAGACAATTTTCAAACAAATTTTCATTTTGATTCGTTTTAATCGTTTAATTTTCGAAGCGAAGTATTCAAAGTAACAAGTTCTAAAGTTCATTTACAGGAATAGGAAAATAAGAGAGGATGTCGATACCACTAAACACGAAAACAACAGTTAATTCAACGATAATAATATTATTTAACTACAAACAAGGGAGGTTCCCTCGTAGGAAACTGGGATCAGAACAATAATGATTATGTGTACTACAAACAGGTCATATCACAGTTCAAAAACAAAAGGTGATCGAATCAAAGCTCATTAACAATTTAATTAATTACACTCGTTGGCCCCCCTTTGGATCGACATTCACAAGGTGTTAGAGAAAGGTTGAAGGGGACGTAACAAAACAAAAGGTTTACTAATAGCGACTAATCGATCAATACGATGAAATCGGTTCCTCCTAAGAGTATTGCCCAAGGGAAATCTGAGTAGAATCGAAGTTTGATCGACGATCACCTGCTGGATCAGCTGTAACCTTGTTCACCCTTTCGATCAAGGGCGCACTCCTATCGTTGCACTTCACATGCTTCAAGGTTTTTCCGCTTTCAACTTCTTTCATCATACTCGCCCAATCTGGACGTTTCCGTGGTCTCTGTTTCAGCATTTCGAGCTTTTCTTGTTGGCTCTTGTTTAGTGGCGGAAGATCCTTCAGGATTGTTCTACTCGGAGGTGGTGGTGGAGGTCTTGGAGGTGGTGGTGGCGGAATCGCTGCTCTCGATGAGCTTTTCGATAATGTCGGTGCTCCTATTTATAAGAAAACTTTATTTTTATCGTGCTCAAGTGGTCATCATGAATTTTTGTGTTTCTTTTATGTTTTCTATTAAAGGATAATTACCATGAGTAGAGGTAAGTAATTTGAAATATTTATCAATCAAGTAATTATTATTCCGATAAGATTAAAAGTATCAATTAGATTTCGAATAAGATTTAATAATTTTATAATAGTTTATACGTGTTACGTTTCAACATTTTTATCTTTTTAGGATTTGTTTGGGAAGGTTTTGCGGAGAGATTGTTACCTGTGGTGTTCTCACTCTTGGAGAGTGGTATTGTATCACCTCGAGATCGAGACCTCTCGATTCGAACCTGTCGTTCGAGCTGTGGCCTCGAATTTGGCTCTTGTCGTCCATTCTCGCGGAGCTTCGCCGGTATCGGTTGACTGTTCGTATTCTTTTCGCTTTTAGGCTGTGACGGAATTATTGTGATCTTGCTTTGTTTACGCGGCTGTGCATCTGTCGAGGATTTCGCTTCTGGTTTCGCTACACTCTGTAAATTGACAAACAATCTTATTTTAACTTCTTTCTATTTTATCAATGTTATTTTTTTTTATTTTTTATTTTTTTTTATAAACCATCTTTTATCGTTTACATTTTTGTAATATTTTTTTGTCTATTTTTTTATATTTAAAAATGATAAAAATGATTTCGATCTATTTGAGGTGATATTTCTACGTTTCTATCGTATTAATATCATTTGCTTGCCAGTTGTCCGCTAACGTATTCAACTGCAATCATTTCATTGTTTACGACCAACGAATATTTTACATTTACAATTTTCATATTTTAGATCAGCTTGTAACAATTGTAATGATAAAACTCGTTAATTGCAATACGTAACTTAAAATAAAACATAAAGTATTTTCTTGCGTATTGTGAAAGATAGTTATGCGAATTGAAAAGTGAATAACAGAAAAAAGAACGTACACCCCCACTTAGTATCCTTCGATCCTAAAGAAAGAAAGTCTCGAGAATTCTCTTGGCAAGTATCAATGTTCGTGCGATCGTCTTTAAATAATCTAAATCGTGTTACCTTTGCGATCGTTTTAAAATTATAAACTTCGATTTGTATTTTTACGATATTGTGTTCCTTTTTCTCTTAAAAAAATGCCATTTATTTGTTAATTTATCGTTTCAGGAGAAAAGTTTCGCGTGTCAAAAAATTTATAATGGTTATCGATATATAAAAACATTCAGATTTTTTAATTAGAAATTTTGCAAATCCAGCATAACTTATCATTTACGCGAAAGCGTAATATAAACTCGTTAAGAAACTGGCGGAAGACGCAACTGGCAAGACATTTGAAATAGAAACTCGTGTTCTTTAAATAATCGTGACCCAGAGGCTTATATGCGAGAACCTGAGAGGCTAACCTTCTGTCCGATCTCTCCCGTATCGAGAAAGTGATATTAATCTAATCCTTTGATGCAACATATACAAATAGTCCAATAGTTTTAATCAATTTTTCTTCTTACGATCAAATTTCATAATTTATGGCCAATTCATTGAATCGAATCATTATTTGTTCACTGTTAAAAAAAAAAGAAAAAATTAAATAACATTACCAAGAGAGGCAAAAGCATTGCTCCTCGTATTAACTTTTAATCCGAGATTCGAAAAAAAATTCAACGTTGATCGCATGATTTGCAGGAGGAATGAATAAAGTGTTATTTTTGGAAATTTTCTGGATTTCGTATTCGTTGGAAAACTTTCAACTATAAATTCTACTTTAAATTATTGATTCCAAAATGGAATCACGGATCTCTCATAAATTGCATTCGAATCAATCGATGATCTAACTGAGCGCGACACTTGTAAACAATATCGTGACGCGAATGTTCATGACGTTCCCACGTGTCTTCGGAACTTCGAAGTTTTCGCATTTTCGTCGAATCGAGGAATCCATTCGCGTTCAGCGTTTTCGTTTGGCGCGTTGCCAAAATATCGAAAGTATGCGTTTTCGTATCATTGTATGACGACAAAAAAACGCAAATAAACAAAACATTGACAGGAACGACTTGAACAAGTGACGTAGATGATTTATATACGAGCAGAACCAAAGGGTGAAAGAACGATAAACATTTTCGTGAATTAAAACATCTTTTCGAATCGAAATTTCGTACTTTTAATAATAATTACTCGATTAAATATAAATTCGAATGCAACGCATTTGCAATCTTCTACTTGTCGAAATGTTTATAACGCAAGAACTTGTTACATGACACCCACGCGAGTTATTAATAGCGAAGTCTCTTGTGACTTTGAAACCTAATATCTGAATGGAAAAAGACTGCACAAGCATCCTTCGATGTTTCTAGTAGAACAAGTACGCATCGGATCAGACAATGAGTTAGTATCTTTAGAAATGATTGAGAATAGGATGAAGGTAAATTTATATCAAATGAAAGTAAACGAGTAACGAAAATATAGATCGATTATATACAAATAAATTCAAATTGTGTTTCAGCGTGCAATTGTTATCGCGTCATCCCTTCGAAATATCGTCAAATATACGATTAAAAAATTTTGTCACGAGCATGATATCAAATAGGAGAAAAAAAAAAACTCACTTTCAGAGTAACTTGGGTAAATGGTGGCGGCTCTTCAACTTTTGGTTTCGAATCTCTTCTAGAATTGAGGGCCCAGGGTGCACTAGGCATAGGTAAAGGTGACGGACCATCCTTGACCCAGGGTGGTCGGAAGGTGGTCCTTTGCGGTGGTTGACCACCGGCACCAGGCATTCTTCTTTCTACTCTTCTCTCGCACAACTCTCTTCTCTTTAATTAATTCTCGACTTTCGTATCGATATCCGCCCGTCGGCGAACGCAAAAGGCACGGCACGCAAAAGGTGTTGCGTACAAAAAAAAAAAGAAGAGAGAGAGAGGATCGCGAGAGCCGTGGAAAAACGACGAGGATCCTCTCGAGGACGTGTACGATGCGCCACTGACGGACTCCTGGACGCAGAAATGAAAAAGGTGGGGATCAGTTTTACGTGGGAGAGAGAGAGCCACGACCCACTTCTCTCGAGATGTTTCACGCACACGGGAAATGTTGCGGATTGTCCACGCGGTTCCGTTGGACTCCCGAAGGAGGAGAGTGGCCACGTCACGAGTCGGGATCCCTTCTTCGATCCGATCGATCGTCGAGAACTCGGAGAGGAGGAGTTATCGAAGAGCGAAGTGATTGAGAATTTTTGGGAGTCTGGGAAAGATTGAGACCTGGACCACACATCAGGGCCACACGACTGCACCTCCCTAACCGCGTGATATTTTCGTCGGCGTGACGTCATAGAAAGACGCAAGCTCGAAATAGAAGACGGTCCTCTTCTTCTAGGATGCTTTCGATGACTCTCTCTCGGTTGAAACGCCTCACCATCCTACCACGTATCCCACGTCTGTTTACGATGCACCGTTGTGCGCCGATCGGATCGGTGCGCGCGAAGGTCGGATCAATCGTCGCGCGAGAAAGAATCTCTTCGATCTATTAATCGATTTCATGGATCGGTGATTAGATAACAGCCTACGTGATATATATATATATATATATATGAACTGTTTCTACAGAATGTTGTATTATTAATAAAAATATGATTTTCCAATTAACAACAATGATGAATAAACCTTGGTCGTTGTATTTATCGATGTATTTATTTAAAATTTATTCGAATTCTTCTCATTCCTATCAGATTCAAAATATAATCAAGAGATCATCAACGAAGCTTGTAATTTAAAGGGTGGGACGATATCGAGAGAGGCAGTACCAGTTAGCAGCGCAGAAGCACAACCAGCAGTGTCTCAAGTATGATTATTATCAGCAAATTGCCAAATACTTCGAACGCGAGTGTCGAATCGCCAAGCACTATGATTCGTGGAATTACAGGACTTTAGATCGCGAAAGCGAACTCGAGAAGACTAAGAAAGCGGAAAGGTTAGAGGCTAGAAGGAATAAATTAAGAAATCTTTTGAAGGAGGAAGATGAAACGTATAGAAGGGAGTTGGAGAGACGAAAGAAAATAAAAAATCGGCCGGAAGAGATTTCTTTGGAGGCGTTAAAACAAAAATTGAAGGAAAAACGCGCGGAGCAGAGCCTATATTTGCCTAGAACTTGTCGAAGATATCAGTCGTATTTCGTCTGTCCCACGGAAACTAATGCCCCAGGTTGGAATACGCTTAGAAACACCAATCTTCAATATTCTCGTGCCTGTAGAGAATCGACGAATCTTATTCGACAAAATTCTTATAGTAGAAATTCGAAAATGAGCGAAAATAGTAATAAAACTTCCCTGGAGCAAGAAAATATAGACACGCGACAAGACGAAAAAAGTCTTCTGTCGTCACAGAGCTTGGACAGTGAGAGGCCTAAATCGAGATATTCGGCTCGTTATGCTCGCAGAAGTTTGGAAAATACCAATGTGAGAAACGACGATTTCGTGGATTCGCCAAACAGAGCAGCAAGTACATCGTCTTTTACTTATGGCTCTTCCGCTGCCTCCACTGAAAAGTTGGTGAACGAGAAAATTCTTCTTCGTGGGGACGATAAAGAGAACAGGACAGAAGATGCGAAATCAAACGGTCCTCAAAATGGGAGGATAACCGAAAGATCTTCCTCGAGCGATGGTAATCCAAAGAATCTTGCGCAACAAGAACATATTCCTCCTAAAAAAAACGATGAGAATAATTCCTTAAAACAATCGGATCGTTTAAGCGATAATGCCTATGATACACGTAGATCGGAACATAGCGAGAAAGAATATCAAGACACGAAAAAGAACGACACTCGACAGTTCGAAATTGAAAAAAGTTTGCCTTGGCTGCGAATGGATCCTAGCGATAAGAATCTCTCAAAAGAGATGTTTTTATACTTGACTCACAAGGAATTGAAATGCAAGATCGAGGATCTTTCCAGAAGAGAAATGCACGCGTGCAACAAACAATGTTGGGACGAGGCTTTACGGCTAAGAGATATGAGAAATAAATTGGAATTAATTCGCGAAAAGAGATTGTACAATATGGAAAATCTCGAATTGGACGAAGAAGCGAGGAAGATAGGATTGGTTAATATCGATAAGAGAGAAGCGGAACTTATTGAAAGAGAGAAGATTTGTATGGATTCAATGATGTATAGGTGAGTTTTTACAACTTATAAGTTGCAAGTTAAAAATATCACGTGTCACGTTTACAAGCACGAAATATCTGTATGAATATATCGAATCGATTTGTCAAGTTTAATTTAATATTCATGACTGGTCGGAATTCGTTGCAATACTGGTATGTGACCGTGAGCGATGTTAAGGGTCTAGGACGACGAACATCACCTCCTGGTTCTCGAATTAGTCGAGATCCGTCGATGTTGCAACCGAAAGTCGTGAGTCATTCACGTCTCTCTCGGTACATCTTACTTGCTTACTCGTATCGAGTGTTTCGTAAATACACGCCAAGATATTCGTCATCCTGCGCGCCCTATATTCGTTCCTCGATAGATCGCGAATAGGAATTTCTAAGAATGCGAATTGTATAGGTAACAAAAAAAAAAAAAAAATTAGGAAATTTCTTTACATTAAGTATCCCTATAAGCAATCTTGAATTTTAATAATCTTTATAAAAATATTTTTAATATAATTGTTTTTATTGTTTTTTAGCGAAGAAGCAAAAGCTTTATGGAAAAAGTGGGTACACGAAGATGAAAGATTCGTGATTAAGGATGCTCGCCAAGAAAGGGAAAAATTGATGAACAATTTGGAGAAAGAATGGCAGAATCTCGCGATTCGTGAGAAAGAAAGAATCTCAAGATCATACCAGAATGTGATGAATGAATCTGCTCTGCAAGAAGAACACAAACTGGCTGCGGCTATTAACGCGGCCAGAATAAAACCCCTTTCAAATTCTTTAAAATAGGTCTAAATAGAATTTCAAAAATTCGCGTGCTTGATTTTATTATATCAAGCTTAACGATTGTTCGCATTTCAATGTTTCTAGAATACAATTTTTTGCAAGTGATAATGTTGCAACTGTTGGATGCATTTCAAAAAAATTTAGAGAAACGTTTAGATCTTAGTAAAATATAATTTAAAAAAAGAAATAAAATAAATAAAAGAAAGAAATATATCTAACAGTTAATAGTTGTTAACCGTTATAAAAGACTGATTATATTCTAATTAAATTGGTATTTAAAAAATGTTACCGAAATTGTTTCAGATTAATTACTGTATTTTTCATTATTTTAATTGTTCGTTTATATAATTAATCACTGAATTCGTACTTCAATTTTTTAATTCTAGTCGTTTTCTAATAACAATCACGATATTGTTATTATCTATTAATAGCTCTACTATTCACCATTAATTGCAATTCATTTAATTGTATCACAATTGTTTATAATATTCCACCAATGAGATTACTATATTTTATATTATTAACTTGGAAATAAAGTGATCGCATTGATCGCATTCTTTTTTGTGCATATATTTTAAAGTATATTTGAAAAAAACTTTTATTACTTATGTGTATATGAAATGTGAAATAATGGATTTCAAATTTACCGCGAAAGATTGTTAGGCCGATAAAATTTGAAGTCGTTTCCTGTCCATTACGCAAGATGGCGCGGTAAGGTTAGCAGCTAGTCTGCACAGATAGCGCGCAAAACTTGTGCTTATTCGTAGAAAATCATGTTTATTCATAATTATTAGTGTTGTCAGGTTGTGTACAAGTAATAATTAGTGTATTAATTATCGGAAACTCGAGAAGATTAACTGACTACTTAAATACATCCATTTAATATTCATTTTTATACTTTACATAAGTATTTATGACAACTTCTTCAGCTTTTCAAGTAAGTGCCTATATTTTTTTTATTTTATCATATAATTTAATAATAAAATTTCTGCATATCGTATAATTCATTATTATTGGTGTTAAAATGTTTAATTATATTATATTTTTTGAATAAACATTGTTATACATCGAACATTAAATACACATAAGTACGTATAATGTAATGTAATATTTTATTTTATTGTATATCAACAATATCTAATCTTAAAACAAATATATACATATATGTATTATAAATATCACGATATCTATACTAAAGAACGATGTTTTAAAAAATCACGAAATGTAGCACGCGTCTCGAGAAAACTATATACGTATATATATCAACATAATACTGGGAATTTGAATTTGTTTTTTTTTTTTTTTTTTTTTTGATATATATTTTCAGCTATCATGCGAATGACAAATAAATAGAAAATAACATTAGCACTTTATTATTATTTCTATTGGAATCTGTTAATTAAGAGACCACCTATTTTTCGTTTCGACGAGGGTTGTGCGAAAGAATTTCCAAGGAATTTGCAGTAGCATAAACTAGGTGGTCGCCATTTATCCTCGAGCATACCCCATGACAACGACCAAATTAGTCGACCGATCCGTCAAAAAGAGCATTTCCGTGGTAGGCGTGCATTATATCCGCCGTGGACAGAACACATGGCACTTCACGCGCAGACACGCCTGCGCATTCACCTTCGGAATATATACATAACGGGAAATGTGTTTACATATAGTACAGTACTATTTAAATGTTATCACGTTAGCGTTTCATTTTTAAATTATTCCAAAAATTATTATATAATATTATTAAAAAAAAAATTGCAATTCAAATTATTAAAGTAAACGTTTAGTGCGATTATATTTTTCAAGTTTGGAGTTACGTTTGATATTTTTTCCTTAAAATGTTTAACAAGATTTATCATAAATATTTAAAAAGCTTATACATTTTCTTTTTTAAGGCATGTATATAAACTAATATTAGGAAGGAAACCAAAGGAATTTTGTTATTTTTAATCAAAATAAGATATACATGTGCAATACGATTTTGAATCACAAATATTCGTTATAAATAGAATATAAAATGGCATCAGATATTTATACTTAAATTTAAAACTATAGGCCAAAGAAATCCAATTATTATTCGCTTTCCAATATCGTTCTACCGAATTACACTGGAACAAAAACTCAACAAATACCAATTCGAAAGAGAATATATCTCTCAAAGTGATAAATCCTGACTCGATCCGCAGGCAAAATGGATCAAGTTCAACAAACTACCCATCATATGTTCCCATGTATCCTTAACGACCGTACAAGATGCATCCGCGTTGTATTTTTCAGCAGGCCATCGATCTCGAATTTTCGTGTTAACATTTAAATCACACCCACATTGTACATCCGGACAAAGACTAAGCCCAAACTAAGGGATAAGTGGAGAGAGAGAAAGAAATATATATATATATATATGTTTGTAATACGTGTATCGTGTGTGCAATGGTCCGTGAAAGCTGACTGTCTGCTCGGCACCCAAGAGAAGAGGGATGCAGCCACGCCAGCTATGTTAATTAAACGCGTTTCTAGCCCCCGCATAGGAAATCAGAGAAAAAAGGAGATGAGACGAGCGATGCTCGAGGAGATGGGGCAACGTGAAAGAGGGTGCCGGCTAATAACACGTCCCGTACGACGAACGCACGCCACACGCCGTCTTCTTCTTCCTCCTCCTCCTCCTCCTCCTCCTGTCTTTCTATCCTCATTCTCATCCTCCACCTCTTCTTTCTCTACCTCTTTCTCCGCGTGCTTCTTCTTTTCTCGTTCTCCTTCCAATATTCTTTTTTCTCTTCGTCCCTCACTTGTCTTCTTGTCGTAAGTCCGACCAACAGTCGGACAATTACGTTCCTTGATATTTTCGAAGATATAAAAAAATTGCAAAGGACAAGATGAAGTTATGTAAAGACGGTAATCATTGTCCAGTAATTTTCGAAGAAAAAAAATGATTTCGTATTTATTTCTCACAAATTGAACTCTGGATAACGAAGAGTTTCGGCCCATATCGAATTCCTCCTCCCAGTTTCCAACTTGCAAAACTTTTATATTCGCGTTAATTTGAAAACGCTTCCATAGTAAACAGTGATTTCCGTTGCAACGATGATCTCTCAGCAAGTTTCAATTATCCTGCGAATCTCATTATGCTCTTAATCGACTAAAAAAAAAAAAAAGGAAAAAAATAGGCATCGATAAGAGTCTGTCTCAACACCACCGATTAGCTGAAATCGCGATAAGATTATTGGTTACCACGGTTACACGGAAATTACGCTCGTCACGGTTTGACGCGTGCACGTGGAAAGGAAAAAAGGAATAGAAGGAAAGTCAGTGTCGACTAGAGGAAAGGAGGGAGAGAGAGAGAGAGAGAAGAAAAAAAGGAATATAGTTACTTTAAAGGGACAGCTAAAGTTACTCCAACGACAAATTAGTCGGGCAATAACGGGTGTGAGGGGTTGGTGGGTTTCACGGAAACGCATACACGGACCACGTGGCTCCCTATACATAGGGAAGCAATGAAGACGGCATATGTCTGACAAGCGTTTAATCATCGGGGAAAATTTTCTGTCGTCGACAGATTAGCCTTTAGCGGGAACCTTGGGCCTCGGCTCGACTTCTAACGCTTCGATCGTTCGCTCGTGTTTCGCACCCTTGTTTCCCTTCCACACAATCGAACCATCGTTCCGTTTACGATCGGCCCGATCGTAATTTCCCCCCCCGTTGTCCTTTTTAGAAGTTCCGCTAACTTTAATGCTTCCGAGAAGCGTCGGGTGAATGGGAACACCGTTCGCGTGCAATTAAGTATCGATTCGCGGCCGCGGAGAAAAAAGTCGGAGGAACCGGGTGGGGTGAGGGGAAGGGAGGAGGGATTAAGGGAGCAAATTGTGGTATAATCGTCTGGAGCATTCGAGTAAAAATTTCGATCGCAATTTCGGCCACTTTAAACTCAATTTGCACGCGTCCCGAAAGACGAGTCGAAGAACTCGCGGAAGAGTGTAACGAAACGCGTATAAAGTTGTTCGAGCATGCACGTCGATGATGCGTTGATTCTTTTTTTTCTTCCCCCTCCCCCTTTTTTTTCTCTCCCCTCTCCGCCTGTCCCCCTTCCTTCTTCTCTCACCTTTCCTCCCTTTCTCGCTGCGCCTCTGTCCCTCTCTACCTGGCGGGTACGTACATACGTACGCACAGGGACCGGGGGGGGAAAATTGATTCGATTATTCGCGACGAAACGAAGTGAACACCGGTGGTATTATGTAAATTTTTGTTCATTCGATGTTTCTGCCCGGAAAGTTCATTATACGCTCTATGAAACTTGGCCGAAATGCGAACAATAAATCGCGATTATTGGCCAGCGGTATTAAATAACCGTTAAATAAAATAATATATTATACGCGGCCTGTTTACGCGGTTCCTAGTTACCCGGTGGATTTTAATCGCGTTATCGATCCGATAATTGAATACGATAAACGAATCTGATCGAATCGATAGAAAACGACACGAGGTCAGCCAGGATCGTGGCTTTGAATCCACGCGATATCCTCGCGTTCGTTCGACGTTTCGAGGATATTCGACGAAACGCGCGACGAATCTCTCCCTCGGCGATCGCGAACGCAGTTTCTTCGATCCGCCGACGAAGAAACAGAAGGCGAAGGCGTAGTACGGTTTTTTCTTTTTCTCCACGACAACGTAACAACGAAGCAGTTTTGCTGGCGAAAAGTTGGCGAACCGTTGCCAACACCGAGGCTAGATGATAAATCTTCGTAAGGGAAAGTTTGAACGCGCGTCGAGTTCCGTAAAATCTATTCCCTTCGTTATCGTAAAGTTTCGCCTTGAAGTTCGGCCTTGAACGTTGATCGCAATCCTTTTGACCGCGAAAAACGACCGTAACGATTTTACTTACGTTCACGATGATGGAAATTCTTGAAAAACCGTGCACCACCAATGCTTCGAAACGTGGAGATACGAATAATACAATCTCGAATAACCGAATGGTGTAAAATATCGAACGTAAAAAACCTGTGCTCTTCCCCTCGAGCGAGGTTTTCAACATAAAATGAACGTTCGTTGCTTTGAAACGCTTCAAACAAGTTAACATTTCGGTGTTTTAATCTCCGTTTCGGTGGCGATACTTTGGCAGAGCGGCGGAAAATAGAAAAAGACACACACACACTCTTTCTGCCTGTTTCGCCCAAAAGATTTTCTCACGGTGTTCATACCGTGATAATTAAACCGTGTCTTTGAGGACTGGAATGGAATGGAACGGAATGGAAATCCATGCAACGTGATTTTCGCGAAACAATTTGCGCTCGGATGGATCCGGTCGATGCTCCTTTTTAAACTGAAACGAGCCGACCATTTTTTCCCCCGCCTTTGCTTCGTTATTATTTAGAAAGATTGGCCGTGTTCGAAATTATTTTCCGAGCTAATGAATTGGAGGACGATTTCAAGAGACTCGGCGCTCCCACGCAACAGCAAGATTTTCCAATCTTGGTTTCGACCGAGATAATGGACGGGAAACAAAAGTCCCAATTTTTCCTGCGTATTCGCAAAGATTATAATTACACCTTGAGGAT